CAGGTTCAACAGCAACTCTTCAGAACAACGCTCTCAACGTTTTGGTGTCGACAAATGAACAAGTATCCAGTTATTGCTAAGAAAGCCCTGGATTTTTTATACCATTTGTTACAACATATCTTTGTGAGCAATCCTTTTCGAGGATGCTGGACATAAAAACGAAGAAAAGGAACAGACTTTGCTGTGAAAATGACGTGAGAGTGGCACTTGCCAAGGTGAAGCCACGCATATCTGAACTGATCTCTCAAAGGCAACAGCAGAAGTCACATTGATTTCCAGGTATGTAATTTGTTGTGAGTTTATGCATTGTGTTGGTTTTATTCTTTGAACAAGGTAATGTTCATGCACGGCTCATTTTGTGTACCAGTAAAAAACATATCTATGTCTTGAATTTGAAAAAAATCACATTTTATTTTTCACTAAAGAGGGGTTCGGTGAATGCGCATATGAAACTGGTGGGGTTCGGTACCTCCAACAAGGTTAAGAACCACTGGTCTAGAGCTAGGACCGTAAGTCACTAAACGATGTGTCCAGAGCTGGGACCGTGAATCACTAAATAATGTGCCTAGAGTTGGGACCGTGAGTCACTAAACTCCGTGGGTCTAGAATTGGGACCATGTGTCACTAAACTCAGTGTGCCTAGAGCTAAGACCGTGAGTCACTAAACTGTGTCTCGAGCTGGGACTGTGAGTCACTGAACTCAGTGTGTCTTCAGCTGGGAGCGATAGTCGATAAACTCAGTGTGTCTACAGCTGGAACCGTGAGCCATCAAACTCTGTGTCTAAAGTTAAGACCAAAAGTCACTAAACTATGTGTGTCAAGAGCTGCGGCCGTGAGTCACTCAACTCTGTGTCGAGAGCTTGGACCGAGCGTCGCAAAACTCAGTGTCTATAGCTGGGACTGTGAGTCACTAAACTGTCTAGAGCTGGGACTGTGAGTCACTAAACTCGTTGTGTCTAGAGCTGGGAACGAAAGTCGCTAAACTCAGTGTGTCTAGAGCTGGAACCGTGAGTCGCTAAACTCAGTGTCTAGAGCTGGGACCGTGAGTCACTAAACGATGTGTGTTTAGAGCTGGGACCGTGAGACACTAAATTATGTGTCTATAGCTGGGACCAAGAGTCGATAAACTGTGTCTAGAGCTGCGACCAGGAATCACGGAACTCTGTGGATCTAGAATTGGGACCGTGAGTCACTAAACTCAGTGTGTCCAGAGGTGGGACCGTGGGTCACCAAACTCAGTGTGTCTACAGCTGGGGCCGTGAGTCACTAAACTGTCTTCTTTGGTTCTTTCGGTAAAGTCACGTAGAATGAGAATAAAATAATAAATTGATAAAATAAAATAACACAATAATATTCTCACGACGTTTCGGCCACAACACAAGCGGCCTTCATCAGGTGAATGGACGAGACTGTCTGGTAGGACAGCGCTGAAGTGAAAGAGCCACGTTCAGATCACGGCCTTTAAGCCTCAACTTTAGCACCACGGATAGCTACGGGCCCCGTTCAGACGGACGAGTTCGTCCATGGTCGGAACAGAGGAGGGGGAGAGAGACAGCTGCGAGGCCCTAGTATACTCCATGTTGTAAAACCATACCATTAACCGTGGTGTGAGAGGTATTAAGAGGCAATGCTGGCGAAAGAGCTGCGGTCTGAAGGTCATCGTAAAAATACAATTAATTAAGAACAGAAATGATTTAAAACATCTTTCCAGTGGTTACTAAGCCAGAATCCATCTTCTCGGTTGAAATTGTCTCTGTGCTTGTATATGTGAATGGCCTCATGGACGAATCTCTGATGGTAGCCGGTTGGTTTGCAAAGAACCTCCGTCTTGGAGAAGTCAATGTCATGTGAGCCCACTGAATTATAACAGTGATCTGCCACGGCAGAGGAGTTCGTCCTACCGTGTTTCAAGTCTGCTTTATGTTCGCGGATGCGGTCCGAGATATGTCTTTTGGTTTCTCCAATGTAGCTACTACCACAGAGGCACTTTAGTTTGTAAACGCCCGGGTACTGTATGTCTGGAACAGCATCAAATGCTGTTCCAGACATACAGTACAGCATCAAATGCTGTTCCAGACATACAGTACCCGGGCGTTTACAAACTAAAGTGCCTCTGTGGTAGTAGCTACATTGGAGGAACCAAAAGACATATCTCGGACCGCATCCGCAAACATAAAGCAGACTTGAAACACGGTAGGACGAACTCCTCTGCCGTGGCAGATCACTGTTATAATTCAGTGGGCTCACATGACATTGACTTCTCCAAGACGGAGGTTCTTTGCAAACCAACCAGCTACCATGAGAGATTCGTTCATGAGGCCATTCACATATACAAGCACAGAGACAATTTCAACCGAGAAGATGGATTCTGGCTTAGTAACCACTGGAAAGATGTTTTAAATCATTTCTGTTCTTAATTAATTGTATTTTTACGATGACCTTCAGACCGCAGCTCTTTCGCCAGCATTGCCTCTTAATACCTCTCACAACACGGTTAATGGTATGGTTTTACAACATGGAGTATACTAGGGCCTCGCAGCTGTCTCTCTCCCCCTCCTCTGTTCCGACCATGGACGAACTCGTCCGTCTGAACGGGGCCCGTAGCTATCCGTGGTGCTAAAGTTGAGGCTTAAAGGCCGTGATCTGAACGTGGCTCTTTCACTCCAGCGCTATCCTACCAGACAGTCTCGTCCCTTCACCTGATGAAGGCCGCTTGTGTTGTGGCCGAAACGTCGTGAGAATATTATTGTGTTATTTTATTTTATCAATTTATTATTTTATTCTCATTTTACGTGACTTTACCGAAAGAACCAAAGAAGATGAATCATTGCAGTCACGAAAGCTTTAAATCACTAAACTGTGTCTAGAGCTGGGACTGTGAGTCACTAAACTCGGTGTGTCTAGACCTGGAACCGATAGTCGCTAAATTCAGTGCGTCTAGAGCTGGAACCATGAGTCGCTAAACTCAGTGTGTCTAGAGCTAGGACCGTAAGTCACTAAACGATGTGTCTAGAGCTGGGACCGTGAATCACTAAATTATGTGTCTATAGCTGGGACCGAGTCGATAAACTCAGTGTGTCTAGAGCTGGGACCAGGAGTCACTGAACTCCGTGGGTCTAGAATTGGGACCGTGTGTCACTAAACTCAGTGTGCCTAGAGCTAAAACCGTGAGTCACTAAACTGTGTCTAGAGCTGGGATAGTGAGTCACTAAACTCAGTGTGACTAGAGCTGGGACCATGAGTCACTAAACTCAGTGTGTCTACAGCTGGGAGCGATAGTCGATAAACTCAGTGTGTCTAGAGCTGGGACTGTGAGTCACTAAACTCAGTGTCTATAGCTGGGAGCATGAGTCGCTAAACTCAGTGTGTCTATAGCTGGGACCGTGAGCCCTCAAACTCTGTCTAGAGTTAAGATCGTGAGTCACTAAACTATATGTGTCAAGAGCTGCGGCCGTGAGTCACTCAACTCTGTGTTGAGAGCTGCGACCGAGAGTCGCTAAACTAAGTGTCTATAGCTAGGACCATGAGTGACTGTGTGTCTAGAGCTGGGACTGTGAGTCACTAAACTCGGTGTGTCTAGAGCTGGAACCGTGAGTCGCTAAACTCAAGTGTGTCTAGAGGTGGGACCGTGAGTCACGAAAATCAGCGTATCTAGGGCTAGGACCATGAGTCACTAAACGATGTGTGTCTAGAGCTGGGACCGTGAGTCACTAAAGTCTGTGTCTATAGCTGGGACCGAGAGTCGATAAACTCTGTCTCGAGCTGTGACCAGGAGTCACGGAACTCTGTGGGTCTAGAATTGGGACCGTGAATCACTAAACTCAGTGTGTCCAGAGGTGGGACCGTGGATCACTAAACACTGTGTGTCTACAGCTGGCGCCGTGAGTCACTAAACGCTGTCTAGAGTTAAGCCCGTGAGTCACTAAACTCAGTGTGTCTAGAGCTGGGACCTTGAGTCACTAAATTCTGTGTCTACACAGCTGGGAGCATGAGTCGCTAAACTCAGTGTCTACAGCTGGAACCGTGAGCCATCAAACTCTGTGTCTAGAGTTAAGACCGTGAGTCACTAAACTATGTGTGTCAAGAGCTGCGGCCGTGAGTCACTCAACTCTGTGTCGAGAGCTTGGACCGAGAGTCGCAAAACTCAGTGTCTATAGCTGGGACTGTGAGTCACTAAACTGTGTTTAGAGCTGGGACCGTGAGTCACTAAAATATGTCTAGAGCTGGGACCATGAGTCACTAAACTGTGTCTAGAGCTTGTGCCGTGAGCCACTAAACTGTGTCTAGAGCTGGGACCGTGAGTCACAAAACTCAATCGTGTGTCTAGAGCTGGAAAAAATGAGTACCACTTTGTGTGGGAGTCAACAGTGGTTGTCTTTTGGATAGACTCATCCCTGTCATAGGAATGCGTACTTTCCACCACTTGCTCTGGGCTGTAAACGGGGTGCACCGACGCTCCCTGGAGCAGGAATGCATCTCAGGCCAATTGACTTTTGTAATCGACGAGAAAATCGTAATCGACGGCTCTGTCTGTAGCCAATTACCGGGTCCCCCTTTAAAACTATCAGCCCACCCTCCCCTCCTTCCCCCTGCCATGAAACCCCCTACAAGCCACGTCCAACGAGACACTATGTTTCAATGACAGATATAGTCTGCCAGCTGGGTGGCGATTTAGATATGCGGTTTTACCGATCCGAGCGAATTGCCGTGTCGTTTTTTATAATTTGGCAAAAATTTTGGACCGAGGGGGGCCAGTGGACAACGGCCGACTCGTTTAGAATCGTGTCACAGGATCCATAAAGTCCACCACGGGGGAGAAGAGGGGAGAAGCAGGTGGCTCATGGCAACTCCCGCAGTTAATGCGACCGGCACACGACGTTAACTGGGGCGGTCGCTCGGCTTGAAACGGCCATGGGCGTCTCGGGCACGCAAGCGAACCGTTCCGTGCAGAGCGCTCCCGGCCATACCTTTGAGAATAACTTAGTCCAAAAACGACAACGGAAAATAAAAGTTTCATCTGCTGCGACAAGAAAGAGCGCACGGTACTGAGCGCGCGAATGTGTGTGCGTGTGCAAGTATGTGCGAGTGCGTGCGTGTGCGCGCATGTGCGAGTGCGTGCGAGTACGTGCGAGTGCGTGCGAGTGTGTGCGAGTGCGTGCGAGCGAGTTCGTGCGCTTGTGAGAGTGCGTGCATGGGCGTGCGTGAGTGTCCGAGTGCATGCGCGTGCGAACAAGCGCGTTCTGTGCGAGCGGTGGCCGTGGTGTCAGGCATCGCCCAAGCTGGGCTGCGCATAGTGGAGCGATTAGTACCAGCAAGTGAGAGTGAGTGTGAGTGCGCGCGCGAGAGAACGAGTGGTGAGTGCATGAGTGCATGAGCTGGCGAGTGTGTGAGTGAGTTGGCGAGTGTGTGCGAGTGGACGCGAGTGCGTCTGTCCACCGGTAACCCCCACCCTGCCCAGCCCCGCCCGCCCGCGGGCTGGCACCCTCCTATCTCCTCAGCCGCTCCAGCCTCCTGCGTCTGAGCTCCTCCGGAGAGAGGAATCCCGGCTCAGGGGGGGTGGGCGATCCTGTACAGGAGTGACGGGCACAGCGGGAGGGCGGTGGTGATTGGAGGAACATGAGGAGAGGAGGCAGTGAGGGAGAGGAGGGAGTGGGAGTCAGGAGGAAAGCGGGGAGAGTCGACGGGAGGGAGATGGGAGTGCAAGAGGGAGCGCGAGAATGAGTGGCATGGCAGCACAAAGAACGCGCGCACACGAGCGCGTACATACACAGGCGCACGCAGACACGCGAGCGCTTTACACGTGACTGCACGCGCACGCACGCACATTGACACGCATGCAAGTATATACATGCACATTCATGCAAAGCGAGCGCAAAGACAAAGATCTCCTGTGTAGCCTTTAAGGGACTATTGGGGCAAGTGCACCTCTGAAGGCCAACACTGCACACAAGGGAGCGGTGTGGTAAACACCACTTCCAGCCACTTTTATCTCCCCAGCGCCGATGTATGCACACAACACCGGGTACTTATTGAAGTGGCGAGTCGACCTAGGGGCGGCCTAGGACTAATTCAAATATTCGCCACTTGCTATTGGTTGCGAGTGGGAATCGAATGCAGGTCGCTGGGTTCATAGAGCAGTGCACTAACCACGACAATAGCGCGGCCTGCACACACACACACGCGTGCGCAAAAACACATGCATAGACACACACACACAAAACAAAGATCCCCCCTATAGCCTATAACAGACTGTTGGGGCAAATGTTGTTAGCGAGCACCCGTGAAGGCCGGCATGGCACACGAGGGGGTGGGTGGCCAGCACCACGCCCGACCACCTTTGTCTCCCTAGTGGCGATGTTTACACACCACACCAGGTACTCATTTGAGGCTGAGTTAACCTAGGGGAGGCACATGACCGGGTTCAGATAATCGTCACTGGTCTCGGTGACCTTAAGCGGGAATTGAACTCGTGTCACCCGGTTCATAGAGCAGCGCGCCAACCGCTACACTACCGCTCCTCACACACACACTCACTAACAAAGACACACACACGCGCAGACGTAGCAATGTACAAGAAGTGAGAGTGCATTCACATACCCCATGGAGACACTCCCGCCGCAGTGCGAGTGGGTGAGGTAAACTGTGGGTACTCTCGCCTCTTCCAAAACAAGGAAGGGTCCCCTAAATACACTCTCGCGCTCTCTCTCTCGGTGGTGCAGCGCTGCCCCTTTGACCGTCACCCCACGCCAAGTGCCAAATGAACCCCGGGAGGGTGGGGGTGCGCTGCTCACTCGTGTCACGCAGGCTGGCTCGCATCGCCTCCTGCAGATCCTCGTCCTCCGATGTCTCGCCCGTGTAGCTCCAGAACTCCGCGCTGCGATGCTCGTAGCGGTGGTGGGTGCGCCATCCCGCGGCGTCTAGGGGGGATCGACAGGCATGGGTGACGTGCGCCGGTTACGCGCGCACGGGCGCCGGCTCGGAGCGGACGGGATGAGCGGAAACCACTCACCAAACTTAATAACCAGGCTACAGTCTGCATTATAGACTGCCAGTACACTCACCCAGCTTAATAACCATTGCGAGTCTACATTATAGACTGCCAGTACACTCACTCTGATTAAGAACCAGGTTCCAGTCTACATTAGTGTTTTGTTTGTTATTATTTTTATTTACTACGCGACTTTACCGAAAGAACCAAAGAATATGAATTCCTGCAGTCACGTGTTGCATGTCGCACCACATCGCCGCCATTACCGTCGACAGCACACGAACCGCACCTGCTCTGGGCAACTCTCCGGTCACGGCGTACCCACCAAGCGCGCACGTCAATGGATGCCGTGGCAAATGAGACGTCCCATTATCGTGAGGGGCGGCCTCGGCGCAACGCTCGTGCGGTTCCTTACTCCCCAGGTTCCGCGGTACCTGAAGCCGCTTGAGGCGGTCTCAAGCAAATCGCCGCGTGATGGCCCCGGTCATCATCGATGCAACGAGATGAACAAAAGGCGCAAATCCCGTGGCATGGCCTTCGCTCAGTCGGGGCAACGGCAGCGGCGACGTCACCACACTGGATTGGTGCCCTCAGCGCAAACGTGGCCTACCAGCACCACACCGTGTCTGTCACGTTTAGGCGGCCGCACGTCTCGAGCCAATTCTGTGTAACCGGGTGAGAACCCAAGAGGGCCAAGGAGGACGGCAGTCTCGTAGATTTACAAGATATGACCCGCTTAGTTTGACCATACTTCCCCACTCTGGTCAGCGAGTCAAATACAGTGAGGGAAAAAATATTTCATCCCCTGCTGATTTTGTACGTTTGCCCACTGACAAAGAAATTATCAGTCAATAATTTTAATGGTAGGTTTATTTGAACAGTGAGAGACAGAATAACAACAAAAAAATCCAGAAAAATGCATGTCGAAAATGTTATAAATTGATTTGCATTTTAATGAGGGAAATAAGTATTTGACCCCTCTGCAAAACATGACTTAGTACTTGGTGGAAAAACCCTTGTTGGCAATCACAGAGGTCAGACGTTTCTTGTAGTTGGCCACCAGGTTTGCCCACATCTCAGGAGGGATTTTGTCCCACTCCTCTTTGCAGATTTTCTCCAAGTCATTAAGGTTTCGAGGCTGACGTTTGGCAACTCGAACCTTCAGCTCCCTCCACAGATTTTCTATGGGATGAAGGTCTGGAGACTGGCTAGGCCACTCCAGGACCTTAATGTGCTTCTTCTTGAGCCACTCCTTTGTTGCCTTGGCCGTGTGTTTTGGGTCATTGTCATGTTGGAATACCCACGCACGACCCATTTTCAATGCCCTGGCTGAGGGAAGAAGGTTCTCACCCAAGATTTGACGGTACATGGCCCCGTCCATCGTCCCTTTGATGCGGTGAAGTTGTCCTGTCCCCTTAGCAGAAAAACACCCCCAAAGCACAATGTTTCCACCCCCATGTTTGACAGTGGGGATGGTGTTCTTGGGGTCATAGGCAGCATTCCTCCTCCTTCAAACACGGCGAGTTGAGTTGATGCCAAAGAGCTCCATTTTGGTCTCATCTGACCACAACACTTTCACCCAGTTGTCCTCTGAATCATTCAGATGTTCATTGGCAAACTTCAGACGGGCATGTATATGTGCTTTCTTGAGCTGGGGGACCTTGCGGGCGCTGTAGGATTTAAGTCCTTCACGGCGTAGTGTGTTACCAATTGTTTTCTTGGTGACTATGGTCTCAGCTGCCTTGAGATCATTGACAAGATTCTCCCGTGTAGTTCTGGGCTGATTCCTCACCGTTCTCATGATCATTGCAACTCCACGAGGTGAGATCTTGCATGGAGCCCCAGGCCGAGGGAGATTGACAGTTCTTTTGTGTTTCTTCCATTTGCGAATAATCGCACCAACTGTTGTCACCTTCTCACCAAGCTGCTTGGCAATGGTCTTGTAGCCCATTCCAGCCTTGTGTAGGTCTACAATCTTGTCCCTGACATCCTTGGAGAGCTCTTTGGTCTTGGCCATGGTGGAAAGTTTGGAATCTGATTGATTGATTGCTTCTGTGGACAGGTGTCTTTCATACAGGTAACACGCTGAGATTAGGAGCACTCCCTTTAAGAGTGTGCTCCTAATCTTAGCTCGTTACCTGTATAAAAGACACCTGGGAGCCAGAAATCTTTCTGATTGAGAGGGGGTCAAATACTTATTTCCCACATTAAAATGCAAATCAATTTATAACATTTTTGACATGCGTTTTTCTGGATTTTGTTGTTATTCTGCCTCTCATTGTTCAAATAAATCTACCATTAAAATTATAGACTGATCATTTCTTTGTTAGTGGGCAAACGTACAAAATCAGTAGGGGATCAAATACTTTTTTCCCTCACTGTATACACTTTGCCGACTCGGTTGCTTCTCAACGCCTTTCAAATCGGGGTGATGGTGTCCAGGCCCGAATCATGGTCCCATGAGGCCCCTGGGCACATGTCTTTTGGAGGCCCCCCCTTTCCTATATTGGTGTCTTTCTTGCCTTCCTCCTCGCAAAATCATCCACTAGATCATCAAAATCTAGCTGTCTGACAAGGTCTGACTCTATTGACGTAAGTGACAATGAGCTGAGACGTGTTTGGCACATGGTACTCCACAGCTCATTTTTTATTCTGCCTAAAGGGGAAAATGTCTGCTCACCCAGGCAGTTTGTCACTGGCAAAGTTAGAAAAATCTGAAGTGCCACGAAAACATTGGGGAACACTGACTGAAGATTAAGTGCCTGCAACATCTCAAGCAATTTAGTTGGGCACTTCTCACCCTCAGAGTCAAACATGAAAGACTTGAATTGGATTAGTTAGTAGGCAAAGTTCATGTCCAAGTCTGATGGATATGTAGCGGAGAGTGCATTTACATTCATAATAAAGGTTTTTGGGTTAGATCGCGTTTATTTATAAATGTGTCGTAACCCTCCACCACCCGACACGGCCAATCAGCAAAAAAAGTGTCACGTTGACAAAAAGACAAATAGTTCACTACTTTAGCCCACCGGTGTGTTGAAGAGTGAATCCACATTTACAGTTTGAGTACGACGTTTCGGTGGTAAATACATCCAGCATCATCGGGCAATTCGCCAGAATGGTAAAGCCCTCGCTTGCTCCCGGTTTTATATAGAGCAGCAGGGTGACGTCATCACTTAACTCATATCAGGTGCAGTGATTAGAGGTGGAGGGGGGGGTATTGTAATTATATAATCGATTAGTAATCAGTCATTGGTTATGATTATTAATGATTGTAGATTAGTAATTCTTTCAATCAAAATGTAATGTGTATTATTTAATAATACGCTTCCAGGCCGCACTAAGCCTGTAGCTGTCAGAGCGATTAAAGTTATTCTTGTTCCTCTCAATTTCAATGGATTCTCTAATTAGTCTTTGCCAGTAATAATTAGTTTTACACACCACTGCAACATTGTCAAAATCAATTGAGTGTCCTTGTTGACAAGCATGTTCTGCCACTGCCGACAGTTGTGTTTGAGATAATTTAATATTTCTCTGATGTTCTTTTAGTCTTACGCTGTTACGTCCCGTCTGTCCAATGTAGCAGGTGCCACAAACAATTAATCCGATATACACCTTCTGTTGATAATTTAGGTAATGCGTCTTTAGTGCAAGATACTAGTTTTTGACACCTGATCTGACATAAACAGAACTCCAAAGAGACTGGTCAAACGCTTGTAAGCATCCAAGCGATATTCAAGGCATGGCACTAGCTTATCAATAACCACATAAAATGTTTCTATTTTGAACTTCTCCCTCCACTCAAGTGTCACACCTGGCTCTGAGCTCTCATCTGCAAGTGTTTTGCGTTTCCTCTTTCGCTTATGATAGTGCTCATATGACTGAGAGACACCTGTCACATTTAAGGCTGCCCTTTCAAAAGCCTCAAACTGGTCTTGCTGTCCTGCCACAAAATCCCTCAATGAAGATAAAAGCTGTGCTGCTACAGAGATGTCAATGTCACTTTTCTGTAGGTGCATGCTTGTAGCGTGGAACCGGTCAAGTATGACGTCCCAGAAATTTGCCATGAACACCATGTCTAAGGTGTCCATTATCATCATTGCACATAGCACCGAAGGCCTCTCTAATGTGGGTGGAATTTCTCCAGTACCTTGGCTGACTATGCCCGAGCACTCCACCGAGTACCAGACAGCGATTTTAATATCAGTCTGACATCTGTCTTCCGAAAGACTTTCCCCCATCTGTGTGTGGATGAAGAGCAAAATGTGTAGTGCCTGCAACATGTTACAAAAACTCGTCAGCCTCTGGGCTACTGCCGTCTAAGGTGTTAACACTAAGTTAAGTGAATGCGCTGCGCAAGGCACATACTCTACCAGAGGGTTTTTTGTTTCAGGTGGGCCTGTAGTCCATTGTATTTTCCTGACATTTTGCTTGCATTGTCACATGACTGACCTCTACAGTTTGAGAGGTCCAATCTAAGGCCCTCCACCATCAAAGTCACAGTCGGTTAAACTTTTATCAGTGTGGCTCTCAATTGGCTCAAAGCCCAGGAATTGCTCCACCACATTCCCACTGCTGTTAACAAACCGGAATATGAACGTCACTTCGTCCACATGTGACAGGTCTGGGGTGGAGTCAATTATTGGAAAATATTTGGCATCCCGAATCTCATCTGCTATTGTTTGGCGAGTTTTCTGACCCATTAGCTCAATGAGTTATTCACATATTGTCGATGACAAATAGGATACTGTGCCTCTTCCTTTTCCACCAAACTTTTTTATATGGGCAGCAAAGAATGGGTCTAATTGTCATAGCAATTCTAGGATGCCAAGGAAATTACCGTCATGGGTTGACCCAAACCGTTCCATCATCTTCCCTAAATGCAAGTCCTCTTTCACCCAAGAACTTGATCACTGCTACAACTCTTTC